GTCTCACGTAACCTGTTGGGCATTTTGACCCGATGGAGATTTTGTCTCGATGGGCATTTTGACCAGAGGCCTTCATTTAACACCTCTTCACTAGGCGCTGCTGGATTTATATTTTACAAAATATTTCACAATCGGAAGGGAGTGCTGGTGGCATTTTGGCAACAGTTCGTGATCGACGTCCAATTACAGTTTTTTATGTTGGCTATACCTCATAAGAAACAATTCATACTGATTTATTATACTAATATTAGCGCTAACATTTTGATAGTTTGGAACAAGGAATAGGTTCTGAAAACTGGAGCGCGGTACTGACTAGTGTGACTGCCGATGAAGCGTTCTACAGTTTCCTTGAAAATTTGAGAAAAATATATGTCAGTTGCTTTCCATATATAGTGCACAGTGTTATCCTTCACTTGAGCTGTGTTGGTATATGTTAGGTACAAGTGTCAGCTGGAACATAAACACCCCAACAAAAAGCATAGAAATGTTGTCCGTAATATCTTAAGCCATAAATTACTCTTGATATAATTACAATTATACATAAGGAAAGTGTTGTATATCAAATATTTGTGCGTATTAGGGACCTTAACATATTTTCTATGTTTCAGAGCAAAGAAATTAAATAACAAGAACTCTAACCCTATTGGAAAAATTATCAGAAACAAACTGGCGGTTTATATACTTCCATCAAGATCCTTCATATATTCTCATCATCGTACGTGTAACCAGTACGGTTGCTGTATCTTGCCGACATGTTTACAATCGCTATTACTGCTGAACACCACGATGTCTATTGGACGTTTATAAGACATCTTGGAAAGATTTGCAAGACGTCTAGTAGATGCATCGGCTAGACATTATATAACCCAAGCTATGTTGAAACTTTTTGTAGACGTCAATAAGACGTCATTACGCACCATCTGTTTGGGCTATGAGACTTCGCGTACGATGCCTGTGGACGTCATAAGGACTGCTACAAGACGCCTTCTAAACTGTCCCGTAGACGTTTAAACGATAGCAAAAAGACATCTCTTAGATGTTTTGGCAATACATTATATAGCCCAAGATATCTTGAAACACGTGTAGACATTTATAAGATGTCATTACGCACCCTCCTTTTTGGTCTGTAAGACTTTTTCTAAGATGTATGGTAGACGTCTTCAAGACTGCCTCAAGGTGTCTTCTACAATGACGCGTAGGCGTCCTTGAGATGGCTTACATTGAGGTACGACCCCGACTTACCATGGCAACCAAGCAACTTAATTGCTAATCGCTATAGTAACTCGCAGTCTCCCATGCTGCTGCTTTCACGGGCCTTAAAATAGCCTACTATAACCAAAAAGTTCATATGCTTAATATAGCATAGCTCGGGCATTTAAGGAGATCACATACTGAACAGTCGTCAACTACATATTCTTAAGGGGTACAGCTACAGCTGCACACAACTAGTAAACAAGACTTCTCCCAATCAGAAACTGCCAACGTCCGTTTATTCAAAAACGTTATTGAAAAAATGATCCAGCACAACTCGCTTTGTTTAAGTTACTTTAAAATGACAAAAGCCAAATTTGTAAATGTTTAAAACAGTACAAATGATTAGAAAGGAGACTCCTGCAACATTTCGAATTATACAGATGTTATAAGCAACAGTCCTCGTGAGGACTAAACGGCGTATTGCGTGCATCTTCTAGAAATTTGCTGATTTACTTATACCAATTTCATGTGGTGTTACTCGCTTGTCTTCATCTTTTTTTAAATTTAATCAAGCTGATCTTCAGTCTTCTGTGGTAGTAAAATAACGACTTCTTCAGTAGGCTTGCAGGGCCTTCCTTCCTCCATAAGCAAATTCCCAGGCAGCAGCAAAATATTAGCCTGATATTGAAATAAAAATCGGCCCGCTTGCCCAATATGCACCGAATATTCATAAACATGCGGTAACCTTGGTATATCTGACCAATATTATCTGCTGTGCGCCCAATATTGGTAAATATTGGAACAATCTTGGTATAACTGGACAGTCTTACCAATAGTGTCAAGTATGTGCCCAATATTGGTAAATATATGTAAATATTGGGACAGTCGTAGATAAGTGGTCAATAATACTAATCTTATTAATCATGTGCCCCATATAATCATAATAATAATATATTTTATTTGCCCATCGGAATGAAATATTATATGTATGGGCACAACAAAGCCATCTGACAATACTGGTAAATAATAATAATAATAATAATAATAAAAAAATTAGGATAATCTCGTATAGCCGCTCAATAGTACCCAGTATGTACCAAATATTGGTAAATATTGGGACAATCTCGGTATAGCGGAAAATATTACCAATATTATCAAATATGTGCCGAAAACTGGGAAATATTGGTAAATATCGTTACAATCTTGGTATAGCTGGCCAATATTACAAATATTACCCAGTATGTGCCAAATATTGGTAAATATTGAGACAAACTATGTATAACTCACAATGCTACCAATATTATGCAATATTTGCCCAATTTTGGTAAATATTAGGGTAATCTTGGTATATCTGTCCATACTATCCAGTAAGTGCCAATATTGATAATTATTGGGACATTTTTGGTTTATAATAATAATAATAATTTTATTGACAGTCTTGAGATACAAGTCAGTGGTAACAGGTCCGCCAAAGCCCGTGATGGCTTGCGGGACGTGACCCGGCAACGGCGTAAAAGAAAAATAGCATAGGAAATTGAAATATAAACATGTATCACAATAATTACAACAACAAAAAACTACAACACGCATCGAATGCGCAAAAAGAAACGCAAAAACATTTCTAATATTGACAACGCAGCAGGAAAGAGCCAACACAATAAAATGAGGTAACACAGTAATGATATCTAAAACTTCGTACTCAGAAATGTGTTTAACTGTCGTTTTGAGTTTATATTACGAAGTGGTACTGTCAATCTGTTAAATATAACAGGAAAATAAAATGGGCGTTTTCTTTTTTTCATATTTAGTATACACTCTCGGGATCGCAAAATGTTCGCTGTCCATTAGTGAACGCTGAGTTATACGTGAAATTTTTAAAGGGCTATTCCAGCAATATTTTTTTATGACAGCTCTCTCGAAGAGTGTTGCAAAGCGAGGAGATGTAAAAAACAGAAGAGATCATCAGATGGGATGTTGGTACTGTATGCTATAGCTTTCGGAATTCCTTTTCGAATACTGTCATATTTGTTTTGCCAACCCAATGAACAGTTAGCATGCAGAGTAATACGGTAGCGCATAACACCATAAGACAGGGCATTTGCTATCATTTTTCGGACTGTGAAAGGCAAAACCATTTGTTGAATAAAGCAGACATGAAGCACTCGGTAGTTATTTTAGCAATATGACCATTGCGTCGCATAAGCCACCGCGTGCGGCGTGAATAAACCAGAAGAACAGCTGGTGGCAGCGTATTAACGTCTTTATTAAGTTGAGTCCTATATATATAGTTTTCTGAGCGAAAGTAGGATACTGGAGGGTGAGGAAAAGGGCGGAGGAGGACCGACGGGGTACCGACAACCTCCTAAGAGATAGTCGGTACCACGTCATTCCTCCTCCGCCCTTTTGTTCGGCGAACGGAATAAACGAAGCCAGCACGCGCGGGAATGACAATCCAGAAATAAAAAGCTAGTGACAATACAACAATTTCTCTCCCCTTAATAGTGGAACGGATCTACTGGTTTACGAAGTCTCGTCGACCGCCGGGTCGTTGTTTGAGCTCTACCTGCGTCCGTCTTCGAGGTAGAGGGTGGGTGTATAGTCGGGTCATCTAGCCGCTGGTCTCTGTCGGGAGATAACTGAGCGGAAGGCCCTACAGCCGTTTCGGCTGCTTGGGAAGGCGGTGCTCGACCTGAAGCCTCTGTAGCGTTCGATGCGTGGCTGTCCGGAAGACTCTGCGGGCTTGCGTCGTGGCGGGGGCGTACTTGGTCGGTGTGCCGCCAAATAACCGCTGCAGGGGTTTCCACGGTCGCCATCCGGGCTCCTGTCGTGATCTTGACGCGCCCGGGTGTCCATTTTTCACCGGCGCCGTAATTGCGCACATAGACGCTGCTGTCTGGTTGTACCGCCCAGTCATCACGTCGCTGTGGCGGCTTTGGGACAGCTTGAGGAAAACATGTGTCTAAACGAGAACGTATCTGCGATTTCCCCGTGCGCTGAGAAGTCCTCCTATAGCTGAATAGCAAACTCGACAGTTTGTCTTTCAATGTCCCCTCTTTCATTTTACGAAGGCCATCTTTCACTGTTCGGACTGCCCTTTCGGCTGCTCCGTTCGACTGAGGGTGAAAAGGGGCTGTGCGGAGGTGAGTGATGTGGTTTCTCTTTACGAATGTGGCAAATTCTTGGCTAGTAAACAGTGTTCCTTTGTGAAAACTTTAGTACGTGGCACGCTGAAATGGCTGAAAATGTTGCGTAGACAGCCGATCGTACTCGCTGTGGCAGCACGTTTCATGGGTACAGCTTCGATCCATTTTGAATGGCTGTCCACCACTACGGGTACCATCTTTCCAGCCAGCGGTCCTGCAAACTCTATGTGTAGCCGAGACCACTTCTCTAGGGTCTTTGGCCAAGGCACCGGGGGTGCTGCTGTCGGCAGGAACAAGTTTATTATGCAGTTTTTGCAGTTAGCTGATAGTCTTTTGATGTCGCGGTCTAGACCCTTGGTGTGTTTCATGCAGGAGCTGCGGCATTCTCGACTGGGCTATTACCAATATGATCACTCGATTACCCCAGGATACTAGTTCGTGTGTCACCGACAACTCGAGCTCGCTATCATAAAATGGTAGCAAAGAAGGCTCCAGTTCCTTCGCGCTTTTAGGCGAGCCGCGCAATTTGTGCTGCTTGGCACGAGCTAAGGTACAATCGGCAGCCGTAAGATCTTTTAGCTCACGCGTTGTCACCATGCCGTCATCCAAGGTCTCCAAGGAGAGAACATACTCTGGGGGCTCACCGTCATCTTCCTGCTCCGTTGACAGCATCGGCAATCTGCTGAAGCCATCCGAGTTCAGCAACTGCTTTTCTGGCACATAGTGCAGCTTGTAACGGTAGCCACCCAGGTCAAGCGCCCAGCGTTGAATCTTGGCAGCGGCCATTGCCGGAGTCAGACGGTCAGCTCTCAGGAAACCCAGGAGTGCCTGGTGGTCGGTAACCAAGGTAAACCCTCGACCTAGGAGATAATCCCGAAACTTTGTCGCGCCAAACACGAGTGCGAGGGCTTCTCGCTCAAGCTGAGAATAGTTCCGTTCTGCTTGTGTTAAGGTCCTAGAGCGGAACCCGATGGGCTTGTGAACGTTGCCCGAGGTGTGGAACAGGACTGCTCCCACGCCATACGGCGATGCGTCGCATTCTAGCTTTAGCTCCTTAGACGGGTCGAAATGCACCAGAACCTTCGCTTCCTTAAAGGGGCCCTGCAATGACTTTTTGACTGGTTTTAATTTGCACCGAACCTGAGCGCACTGAACGTAGTAACTTAATCAAACTTTTCTTTTCTCAAATTTCGCATTATTTTAAAAGTTATAGGCGAATTAGAATTACAAAAACAAGCAAAAAAGAACCTCCTTCATGACGTAGTAGGTCCTGGCTTGAGTGGCCATGAACTAGAGGAGAGGTAGTGAGCTCATCGAGCGTTCACGGTTGCCGCACTCCGGGTCAACGGCTCGAGAGGGCGCCACTAAAGCATATGTTGAATAGACTCTATGAAGCGGGCGGCCGGGGCGGCTCGCATTGCATTTGCTGCGCGATTAAAGACTATTTTGGCATAACACTTCATTGGCCACAAACGACAGCAAACACGGGGTAAAGATCAGTTCAGAACGGGAGCCACTTCGCGCTGCTATGCCGCCAAATGGCCAAATCGCCAACAGGGCCCGCGCCGAAGGCCTTCGGAATGCTCGGAACCGGTCGGATCGTTGAGCCGGTATACGACCGCAGCGCCGCCGCGTACATCCGGGTCTTTTCTACGCTGGCCGTTCGTCGTAGCCTCATCCCACTAGTTATTTCTAGAATGCGCCGTTTTTTCCGCCGCTTGGTGGTGGGTATGTCGACGGGTCTTTTCTTGTTTCCGTAATTTATAAACTGCATTTGTTTCTTTTCTGATCTAAAATACTGAACAAAAACTTCTTTTATAAATAATTGAAACGGGTCGCGCCAGTTATATTTTGTATTTCGACTACGAAAAAGCTTTTAGCGGCTCTGACCAGTAGTAAGCCTAGGACCAAACACGTCACATTTTGCGCGCTTTCGGTACCGCGGGTCGCCCTCGTCAGTGGAGGTGGTTTCCGCGTCGTCCGGTTAAAATATGACGCACTGATATTTAGTTACTCTCTCCGTGCCCGCTGGCTTGCCCGGACCCCAAGAGACGTGGAAACCGCAAAAAAGGTAGACGCTTAAATATGATTGCAGGGCCCCTTTAAAGGGATACTACAACGAAATTTTGGCGCTCATTTTTTGGTCTATATGTGTTCAAAAATGCACCATCAAATCGAACATACCAATATCTTGTTAAAAAAGTAACTAAAAGGAATTTTAAAACGAATTAAACGATTAGCAAAGAGCACCTGGTGGATGTCGCTAACGCCTCGCTTGTAATGCCCGTCTAGCAACCTTGGCAACTAGTGACGGAGGTTGTCTCTCCTCCGGCCACGACGAGAGAAGAGGGGCAGGAGAAACTCCCCTCTTCCCGAGAACGCCTTTTGTGTGTCGCAGAAGTCGCTATTGTCCCCCTACAAGATTATAGAAGATTAACCCGTCACTCAAAATTTGTACAAAAGCAGCCGCTTCGGTGGCTGGAACGACTAGGCCATCCTCTCGACGTCAGCCTCGCCGTAGCTTTGCTCGTCTTGAGACGACCTACGTCACGATTGCGTTGGATGTCACGTGGTCTCCGCTGGGCCTTCTCCGAGCGCTTGCCAGAGTGGGCCGTTTATAACGAAAAATACAGCCACCAGGCTCAAAATACAAACGTGCGATTGTCATTTACGGATATTGGGGATCATATTCAACCTATTTTTGAACACGACGGGAATATTTCAAATTTCGTTGAAGTATCCCTTTAAGGCATTGCTTGGCACTGTTGAAAGCAATTTTTTGTGGTTGTTTCCACTGCCATTGTGAATTTTTCTCCAATAGCCGATATAGCGAAGCGAGGAGGGTTGACATGTTTGGCAGAAACTTGGCATAAAACGTCAACATTCCCAGGAACGAACGGAGCTCACTTATGTTACGTGGGCTGGGTGCCTGTTTGATTGCGTCCACGTTTTTCTCAGTCGGGTGAAGGCCTTGCTTGTCTATGCGATGACCGAGATAAGTGACGGCTGGTTAACGAAAAGTGCAATTGTGATACCCCAGTTTAACGCGGTGTTCGCGAAACCGCTCCAGCACGCTTTTCAGTCGCTCCCCATTATCGTCTTTTTTTCGGACGCGAGCACGTCGTAAAGATAGGCTTCCACAGCTAGCAGGCCCGCAAGTATCACGTCCATTTTTCTTTGAAAAATTGCCGGGGCAGAGGCAATGCTAAGCGGGAGCCTAATATAACAAAACAAGCCCCTGTGAGTGTTGATAAGACAAAGCTTCCGCGCGGCTTCATCCAATGGCACCTGATTATACGTGTCACCCAAGTCCAAGGTGCTGAAACTTTCGCCACCATTTAAAGGGCAACTCCGCTTCATTTTTGATATTTAGAAAACTATGTAGCCCTCTTCAGTATCATATAGGAAGACCCCACGTCAAATATTATGATCTAATTTCGTTTATATATTTAACGAACTGGCCAGCAAACCTTCAAGCGAGCCAAGTCGCCGAAATTTGCCAGCTCTAGCGTGCGGCGCGAGGCGCAATCATCAGCGCAGTCAATGCCACGGAGTTGGAGCGGCCAACGTTGAACCACTACGTCAGAGGCATGTGTACGTCATTCTCACGTTCTGCTTGTTTTTACTTCTCAGAGCGAAATTGAACGGTGACGTCATGAGTTTCTCCTCCCGGTGTTGGCTGACAGGGCGTCCACGTGATCACCGTAACACGGATGCGTTAGTTTGCGCTGCCCTGCGCGCTTATCGGTCTGTTTCTCAGCACCCCTTCTCTTTCGTCTTCTCCCCTTCCCCCTCTCCCCAGGGCCATCACCGTCCACGCCACGCAAAGCGACCTGCCCGCGTCCAATAAAAAAAAAAAAAAAAAAAGAAACCTGCACGCGTCGCGTGTCCTGTTTCTCGCTCCCTCCGGAACATCACAAGACCACGTGGTTCGACGGGGCGTGGCGATGACTCTGACAACCCGAGACCAATGTTGCCTGACGCAACCGAAGTTTCGGTTTCGGTATCTGCTGATGTTTAAATTAGGATTACACAAATAATATTCCACATTTCGCGAATCCGAAGACGTAGAGTTGTTTAGTAGTGCTTTGTGAATGTGAATCACATGGAGGCCTAAATTTTTCGGAATTGAGCGGAGTTGCCCTTTAAGCGCGCAAAAATATCCTCAATAACAGGCAGCGTATATTTTTCAACTGCGCAGGCGGGGTTCAATGTGGCTTTGAAATCACCAGAAATTCGTACATTGCCGTCTTTCTTAAGTAATGGGACTATGGGGGTTGCCCATTCCGAGTGTTTTACAGGTGATAGCACACAGAGAGATACTAGCCGGTGCAGCTCTTACGACACTTTATCGGGAAGCGCATAGGGGATGGGTCACGCCTTACAGAACTTGGGGGAAACTCCGTCCTTCGGTTGCAGGCTGGCTGGAGGTCCCTTGATTACGTCCAGGTCCCTGGAGAAGACATCCTGGTAGTCACTGAAGATGTTGTTGACTGATGCGCTGCATTTTGGGTCTGGCGCTGGAGAGTCGTGTCCGGCCCACTGCAGGATAGGCATCCCGGCATCCTTCAGCTTGGCAAGGAGGTCCCTGCCGCATAGGCTTGGTCCCGAACAGTCCAGTACAGTCAGGGAGCAATCGACGTCCACGCCTTTGTAGTGCACACGGAGTTGAAGCTCACCCAGCACTGGAGTACGACCTGTGTAGCATGACTGCTTAGCACGTGACGGCTTCAAGCACGGCCACACCTTACGATGTTTCTCAAAAATTTGCCGTGATATGACACAAACAGATCTGGTGTCGACTTCCATTAGTAGCTCTACTCTCCCCCCCCCCCCCCCTCCCCCCACGTTAATGTGGGGTGAACCGGCGGTTCGAGAAAGTTCTTCCTTTCTGAAACCAAACTCCAGATGCGCGTTTCATAACTGCCTTCCGCGTCTGACGTGGCTTCAGCAACAGCCAAGGTCGTTGCGTGAGCCGCCTTACTCACTTGGCTTTTGCGGGTAGCAGCGTTCCGACATTAATTTGCCAAGTGACCATGCCGTTCACAACGGCAACAACGAGACTTGGCCCAGCCACAGCTGTTGTCATCATGCTTTGTGCTCCCGCACCTGCCGCACTCTCGCGGGGCATCGCGCTTCACGTTATCTTGTGCTGAAGAATGACGACGCGCTTGCACTTGCAGCAGTGCCGCTGGCTCCGAAGACATTTTTTTTAGTCGTTTTAGGCTGTTTTTGACAAAACCACTAATGCTTCGGCTTCCTCTAGTGTTAGTTCTCTTTCTGCAAGCAGCTGCTTTTGCAAGGTACTTGAGCGCACCCCGCGAACGATTCTGTCCCTAAGCATGCGGGCCAACATGCTGCCAAAGTTGCAGTTGTCTGCCATTCGGCGTATTTCAACCAGAAACGCACGGACAGACTCGCCTTCCACTTGACAACGGTTGAGGAATTTGTAGCTTTCCGTTATTTCGTGCCGCTTGGGGTCGTAGTACACATTCATGGCTTGTACAACTTGTTCATAAGTCAAAGAATTAGGTGTGCGGCGGGCTACTCTTCCTGCTAGTACTTGTGCAGTCTTCGTCGAATTCAGGTAGTTGCTCGTGGGCCATAGCTGTCCTCGGTACGCTGCTGAGCTGTATGGCTGCCTCCGGGGCTTTGTTGTCCGCTTGGGCGAGGTCCGGAATCGTCGCCACTGCTGCGTCGCATAAGCCACCGCGTGCGGCGTGAAGAAACAAGAAGAACGGCTGGTGTCAGCATATCAACGTCTTTATTCGGTTGCGTCCTATATATATAGTTTTCTGAGCGGGAGGAGGATACTGAAGGGTGAGGGAAAGGGCGGAGGAGGAACGACGGGGTACCGACTATCTCTTGTGTCGGCGAACGGAATAAACGAAGCCAGCATGCGCGGGAAAGACAATGCAGAAATACAAAGCTAGTGACAATACAACAATGACAAAGATGGGAATTCCAGGCGAGATAACTATCAAAGAGTATACATTCCCAAATACTTCGTTGTACTAACATGGTTTACGGGTATACATCTACAATCAACACAGCTTGATGAGTGTAGATGAAGAGGAGTATCAAGAACCTTACGTTTAAGTGGACTATAGAAACACACACGTTTTGTTTTATGCGTTTTGATTCTTATAAAGTTAGAATTGAACCAGTCGATCAACCGTGTAGCGTTTGTTTGTAACGCAGTCATTGCACTGCTACAATTTGTGTGACGCGATACCAACAAAGTATCATCGGAGTACTGATAGAGTTCACACCCCGACGCCGCCTTTGCTTGATCACTCGCATACAAGTTAAAAAGTAACGGTGCTAAGACAGAGCCTTGCGGTACGCCCGATTTTAAAGTAACATATGTGCTTCTAGTGTTACAAATCAAAACCTGTTGCGTTCTGTTTGACAAAAAGCTGGTGTGTAACAAAAAGAGAGTCCACGAAAACCGTAGTCATATAGTTTCTTCAATAAAATTTTGGGACGGATAGAGTTAAAAGCTTTTGATACTTCTAAAAACAATGCGCAAGCGGATTTGTTGTTATCAAATGAGGCGTACAACGCAACACCAAAATCCTCAAGTAAGGAATCGGTGCCACCCGCTGCAGTAAAACCGTATTGTCGCTTTGACAACAGATCAAACTTACCTAGAAATGAGGTCATTGTTTTCAGTAAATGCTTTTCAAGTGCCAGTGCTAAACACGGAAGGATAGATAGTGGTCTATAGCTTGCAAGATCATTGCGCTTACCTCCCTTGTAAAGCCGCATTACATCAGCTGCTTCAAGACAGTCTGGGATAACCGCAGATTTTATGATTCCATTAAATGTATCTCAACAATATTACTAATATTACCCAGTGTGTGCCGATTATTGGTAAATATATTAGGATAATCATGGTATGGTTGTAAAATATTGTTCGTTATGTTCCCAATATTTATAAATATTGGGACATTCTTGATATAGCTGGACTATATTACCAATACCATCGAGTATGATGATAATAATTATATAATATATTGTGATGAGTTAGTTCAAAAGAGCAGAAGGCAGGTTTGTCTAAGTCAACAAGGGCTTGAGGGGCTGAACCTAAATGTTGTAGTGTTCACTGGAAAATTCCGGAATGTAATAGGAAAAAGTGAAACACACAAAAAAGAAAAACAATAAGATAGCGCCAGTTGATATGTATGGTCCAGAGTCACGCTTACTCTAAAGTCAAATTTCAAATGGTCAAATCCTTGCCCAGCAGATTAATAGACAACATCTGAAAATAAGCACAAACATGTATTGCGCAGAAGCTAAGTGGCGTTTTCAGATAAGATCGAACAACCATGTCCAATTACCATTTTTAATTGTTCAGAAAAAAAAATATTTTGCTGGCTCCATGACCAGAAAAATAAAACCACTGCTTGCTTAAAAAAAAATACTCTTTGCGAAAAACAATTGTAAGCAAGCTCTCTGTCACGAGCTCGTTTTGCGTATCGCGCGATGTTAGCATTTAGGGCGGCTTCCCAGAAAACATTCTGACAACGGGTATAGAAATAACAAGTTAGACAAGGAAGGATTGAAAAAAAGTATTAATTACCGACTATTATGCTGTTTATATTTGAAAAAAAATCGCCCATGCGGCAGATTGCGCAATAACGCTCTGGATTAAATATTTTTCCTTTGTGTGTATCAAATCTAAGGTTTTCAAACTTTGCTCGTGTGTTGCCCTGTATATAGCTCATCTTTGCATGAAATACTGTTGTCCTGGTTAGCGGGAGAAATTCACAAGAATTGTTCACACAGGGGCATTTAACTAAATATGCATTATTTTGAAAAACCATTTAAAAGAAAGGCCTTCTTTAATATTCTTTATACTATCCAAAATTAACGTTTATACTATGTGCCAACAGAATCTGCAAAAACATAATTAAATATTTCTGTGCCTTTGAAGTTATGAACCGAGAAATATGGCCAAACTGAAGCGAACGCGGTTGCCATAAAGGAGGCGTGCACATACCAATTCTTAACAATTTTATTATTATTAAAAAGCGTACAAATGCCACGTGGTGGTCAGGCAAAGAAAAATTGACAGCACAGAGGTGGACGGTAGTTTTGAAGGGAAAATTCCTAATACATTTTCGTACAACCGACCCAAAAATGCCCATGGGCCGGAGCGATCAAGAGGCGCCACCTTGTAACATGCTTCGCGGAGCCTGTTTCAACAGCAGGCGTGTAGCGTCTCCGTCTACGCGACGTAAAGGAAGCAACCGGAGCGACCTTGCAAAGGTCATTCCGGTTGCTTCCTTTGGCTGTTTATATATGCGTATATATAATACCTGTCTTTATCAGTTTCCAAACAGCGTAAATGCTTGCAAGAAAATAATTGACAATATTTACGTCCCTACCAATTTTGAAGGAATCCCGCTTCGCTTGTTTCCTGGGCAGCTTTTGGAAATTAGCAGTAATCCGCTGCTGCCCTTGGCGAAGCGTAGATATCGCCAAGGTTCGTTTGGGACTCCTCAAACACAAGGTCATATCGGGAAAGGAGAAAGGCACAAAATACCTATAACAGGAACGAACGGTTCTTGTGTGCAAGTCGTTCAGCTTCTTATCTTGAGTCAAGCGTCGTCGAAGTGAGAGCCCGGCCGGAGTGAGGTACATCAGCCAGAGTTGAGTGTACGCTTTGAACATTTTTATACCTTTCGAACACCTGTTAAAGTTACCTACAGGCGCCAGTATGCTACTTCGATATCCTGCGATGAATATTCGCGCCATTTTCACCCTTTACACCCCAAAACCGAATTAATGGGCGCTGCTCCTTCCTGGTGCATGCTTTCAACACGACGGCAATTTTGAGACCGCTGTGGTCATGCTAGATTATTAGGCACGCCGCTAAGTGGGGATCACAGCTTATAGAGGGCCAAAGAATATTTGATGCATGGCAGTCTATCGAGCTATATTTGATGCATGGCAGTCTATTAAAAAGGTTCTCGGAAAACTGCTTGTAGCTTAACCCGCAGAGTACTGAGTGTTATGTGCTATATAAACAGCGCGAGCGAATTTGCTTTTCTTACACTCTTACTGGCGTTTCCTGTCTACAGCTCTCTCGCATCACCTATCTTGGCGTCTCTAACATTAGTTCATTATTACACTTTTATTAATCAGCATGTCCTTATAATGTGTGTTAGGTATGATTTCAGAATGATACCCCTAATGATATCCCCTCGTTGTTTTATAAGCAGTTACATAATTTTTAGTAAGGTCACGGTTGGAGTGTAGCTATGCTATTCGGAATTCCTTGGCTCTTACAAAGGCTACTGTAATCGAAAATGTCAAAAAACGAATGGTTATAATTTCTTTCTGATATGTACATAGGCAGACAAGAGATGGCGCAAGCTATCGCGACGCCAACTGCCGCCAACGAACGAGCAAACGTCGCCGAGAGCCGGCTCTTCTGCAGACAAGGAACTGCAGTTCCTTGCAGTTACCGTGCCTCTCTTTTTTGTTTCTGCGACTGTCGCCGCCTGCGGAACGCGCGCCGCTTTTGAGTCGAAAAGATCGTCTGCTAAAAAGGCCTGCTCTCGGTGCCGTATGCTCGTTCGTTGGCGGCGTTTGTTGCGCCATCTCTTGTCTCCCGTGCGAAACGGCGCCGTTTTGTTTGCAGAACGGTGGTGTCGCTGCCTTTCCATAGTAGCTAAACCTTTTTATTTCTTTACTTTTTCCTCACGTAAGCTCGCTCTTCGCAGATTTTACAAAAACAATGCACCATCTGTGGGCAACGCTGCACAAAGTTGTAGCGCGATAGGTTAAGAAACCGAATT